TATATTCAGGGTGTGACATTTGATCAGACCTGATAGTATTTTAACTTAGTGATGTGACAATTATACATAATCGTACGAAATACACAATTCGAACACAACATGAGAAACTTGATCAATGTAAACATGTGTATGTCAATGACACGGGATGTTAAGTCATATATATCAACTATCGCAAGACAAGGTCCAAGGCAGAATGAAGATATATGTGGCTCACATTCTTATTGCACTTTTAGAGGAAAAGTATATGCTAATTAATTACTATAACACAGCCATTTTGACTATTGCAAAGGTATTTGCAATGCAGGTTTTGTTGACAGAGAATGTAGTTCTATGGAGTATTACTGGTACAGTAGAGGGGACGTGCGCTTGTGCAGGGAGAACAAAGCGAATGCATCGTTGAGAGTTGGCCTGAGTTAATATCCCCATTAAGTATCAGCTGGGAAAGCAAAATCGTGTGATCTATAAGTATTCCAGCTGTTTACATCGAACACAATGATGTACATGTGTTATAAGTATTCCAGCTGTTTACGTCGAACACAATGATGTACATGTGTTATAAGTAATCCAGCTGTTTACATCGAACACAATGATGTACATGTGTTATAAGTATTCCAGCTGTTTACATCGAACACAATGATGTACATGTGTTATAAGTATTCCAGCTGTTTACATCGAACACAATGATGTACATGTGTTATAAGTATTCCAGCTGGTTACATCAAACACAATGATGTACATATGTTATAAGTATTCCAGCTGTTTACATCCAACACAATGATGTACATATGTTATAAGTATTCCAGCTGGTTACATCAAACACAATGATGTACATGTGTTATAAGTATTCCAGCTGTTTACATCAAACACAATGATGTACATATGTTATAAGTATTCCAGCTGTTTACATCAAACACAATGATGTACATGTGTTATAAGTATTCCAGCTGTTTACATCCAACACAATGATGTACATGTGTTATAAGTATTCCAGCTGGTTACATCGAACACAATGATGTACATGTGTTATAAGTATTCCAGCTGTTTACATCGAACACAATGATGTACATGTGTTATAAGTATTCCAGCTGGTTACATCAAACACAATGATGTACATATGTTATAAGTATTCCAGCTGACTACATCCAACACAATGATGTACATGTGTTATAAGTATTCCAGCTGGTTACATCAAACACAATGATGTACATGTGTTATAAGTATTCCAGCTGTTTACATCGAACACAATGATGTACATGTGTTATAAGTATTCCAGCTGGTTACATCGAACACAATGATGTACATATGTTATAAGTATTCCAGCTGGTTACATCAAACACAATGATGTACATGTGTTATAAGTATTCCAGCTGTTTACATCGAACACAATGATGTACATGTGTTATAAGTATTCCAGCTGGTTACATCGAACACAATGATGTACATGTGTTATAAGTATTCCAGCTGTTTACATCGAACACAATGATGTACATGTGTTATAAGTATTCCAGCTGTTTACATCGAACACAATGATGTACATGTGTTATAAGTATTCCAGCTGTTTACATCAAACACAATGATGTACATGTGTTATAAGTATTCAAGCTGGTTACATCAAACACAATGATGTACATGTGTTATAAGTATTCCAGCTGGTTACATCAAACACAATGATGTACATATGTTATAAGTATTCCAGCTTTTTACATCAAACACAATGATGTACATGTGTTATAAGTATTCCAGCTGTTTACATCCAACACAATGATGTACATGTGTTATAAGTATTCCAGCTGGTTACATCAAACACAATGATGTACATGTGTTATAAGTATTCCAGCTGTTTACATCGAACACAATGATGTACATTTGTTATAAGTATTCCAGCTGGTTACATCGAACACAATGATGTACATATGTTATAAGTATTCCAGCTGTTTACATCAAACACAATGATGTACATATGTTATAAGTATTCCAGCTGTTTACATCAAACACAATGATGTACATGTGTTATAAGTATTCCAGCTGGTTACATCGAACACAATGATGTACATGTGTTATAAGTATTCCAGCTGTTTACATCCAACACAATGATGTACATGTGTTATAAGTATTCCAGCTGTTTACATCGAACACAATGATGTACATGTGTTATAAGTATTCCAGCTGTTTACATCGAACACAATGATGTACATGTGTTATAAGTATTCCAGCTGGTTACATCAAACACAATGATTTACATATGTTATAAGTATTCCAGCTGTTTACATCAAACACAATGATGTACATGTGTTATAAGTATTCCAGCTGGTTACATCCAACACAATGATGTACATGTGTTATAAGTATTCCATCTGTTTACATCGAACACAATGATGTACATGTGTTATAAGTATTCCAGCTGTTTACATCGAACACAATGATGTACATGTGTTATAAGTATTCCAGCTGGTTACATCAAACACAATGATGTACATATGTTATAAGTATTCCAGCTGTTTACATCAAACACAATGATGTACATGTGTTATAAGTATTCCAGCTGGTTACATCAAACACAATGATGTACATGTGTTATAAGTATTCCAGCTGATTACATCGAACACAATGATGTACATTTGTTATAAGTATTCCAGCTGGTTACATCGAACACAATGATGTACATGTGTTATAAGTATTCCAGCTGTTTACATCAAACACAATGATGTACATGTGTTATAAGTATTCCAGCTGTTTACATCAAACACAATGATGTACATGTGTTATAAGTATTCCAGCTGTTTACATCGAACACAATGATGTACATGTGTTATAAGTATTCCAGCTGTTTACATCCAACACAATGATGTACATGTGCTATACGTTTTGCAGCTGTTTACATCGAACACAATGATGTACATGTGTTATAATTATGTATTCCAGTTGATAACATCGAACACAATGATGTACATGTGTTATAAGTTTTCCAGCTGACTACATCGAACACAATGATTTACATGTGTTATAAGTATTTCAGCTGTTTACATCGAACACAATGGTGTACATGTGTTATAAGTATTCCAGCTGTTTACATCCAACACAATGATGTACATGTGCTATAAGTATTCCAGCTGTTTACATCGAACACAATGATGTACATGTGTTATAATTATGTATTCCAGTTGATAACATCGAACACAATGATGTACATGTGTTATAAGTTTTCCAGCTGACTACATCGAACACAATGATGTACATGTGTTATAAGTATTTCAGCTGGTTACATCGAACTCATTGATGTACATATGTTATAAAGTATTCCAGCTGACTACATCGAACACAATGATGTACATGTGTTATAAGTATTCCAGCTGACTACATCGAACACAATGATGTACATGTGTTATAAGTATTCCAGCTGATTACATCGAACACAATGATGTACATGTGTTATAAGTATTCCAGCTGACTACATCGAACACAATGATGTACATGTGTTATAAGTATTCCAGCTGATTACATCGAACACACTGATGTACATATGTTATAAGTATTCCAGCTGACTACATCGAACTCATTGATGTACATATGTTATAAGTATTGCAGCTTACTACATCGAACACAATGATGTACATTTGTTAGAAGTATTCCAGCTGATTACATCGAACTCATTGATGTACATATGTTATAAGTATTCTAGCTGATTACATCGAACACAATGATGTACATGTGTTATAAGTATTCTAGCTCCAGTCTCTCGTAGTCACACAGACACTTACGACACGCTAGCCATGTACCCGCGACGTCTCATTGTCCACGAGGAAGGTTGTGGAACGCGCAGATACTACATGGCCAGAGAATTATAGGTGACAGGAGATCAATGGGACTGGACCGAAGTCCACTTCGCAGTGGGAGAAGCAACTTACGTGTGCCCTCCGTCACACCCCTGACATACTTAGGAGGTAAACAGAGAAGGAGACAGACAGCGGAAAGGTGACTCGGGGAGACAACAGGCAAACAGAACCAGCAGCACGAAAAGGTCCTTAGTGAGAGGACAATTGGGGGCCAGAGTCGAGATCCAGAACCATTTGTACCAGTAAATAAACACTCTTCCTCAACAATGAAACGTGTTGTGTTACAACCGCGATCAAGCTTTGTATGTTCAAATTACTTGAGTATATATTTATAAACTATCGATTTACGAACTCATTATATTTCATTCTACCATGAATTTGGAACTTACTCGATTCTTATTGGTCAATCAGAGGCTATTAAATCACAATAAACCCCCTCTGATTGAAACAGCTGGTTTGACGGCTGCATCATCTCGGAAGCTAATAATCATAGAATAGTGCTATTTTCAGTCATTGTCGGTAGGCATATTTTAATAATTATATCTACAATTACAGGTTACAAAATGCGCAGATGCGGTTACTTAGATATTCAAAGGATGTGTGGCAATACATTTCGTGCAGAAAACACGACAGAAATCTACAAAGGGAATGTATTTACGTTTTGGAGACAACAGAGAGCTTAGAAGTTTGGCGCTTTTCTATATACGACCGTGACGTCATATCTTTTGTGTCACAATGAGCGATATGACGTCATAAAGGTGACGCGCGATGTAGAGAGCCTTGCAAAGCTTGCTTTGTTTTCTTTAGGGATGCCAACCTCATGTTAGCTTATCAAGTTGCCGCGCTTGTATGACTTCAATGCCTGTCATATGTTCAATTATAACGGTGTAAACAAACTGCTTGAGCGCCATAATTTTTTTTGGGTGATTCCGTTATTCAGATCGATAACCCACTCAAAACACTGAACTCAACCCTTGCCGCTTCACTCGGTATATTTGCTAACGCCAAAGAGTTCGCGTTTTATTTAGTAAGGGTAGAATGGAGATAAACATACTGTGTTTTCAATGTAGATCTAGGTTACCTGTAGATTTAACCGCGCTAAATTTAACATTTGAAACCTCACGCTGCGCGTTCGGTTCCAAATTCAATTTAGCGGGGTTAAATCTACAGGTAACCTAGATCTACATTGAAAACACAGTATGTTTATCTCCTAATTCAAACTTTGAACTAGCGCTAAGTAATTTTCCCGTCCAAAGTTATGTACACACCATGCCACGGTCGGGGCCGTTATCAGTGACGCCATGGCGACGTCGGCGACCATGTCACAAGTAAACTTTCAACCCGGATTGTGCATACCTGACCGACACAGGGTCGCCTATGTTACTTACTATTGGAGATTAACGTGCGCTTTGCGACATTGTGCGTATTTCACACACGGAGTCGCCTGTGTTGGTGTGAACGTGGGTCCTGGTCCTGGTATGTCCGTGGATCCTGGTCCAACACCCTGTGAAGTCCACTTCAACTGCAGGCCCAGATAAAACGGAAGCAGATTGACTGAAATTATGCAGGTAAGTGGTTTTGTCATAATCAGTGATAATGCAAACATTCTTTATTGCCAGCTGTTGAAAATGTCTCAATAAACACCAGACGTGAGTTTATACCCAAAATAACTTTGATATGAAACTCATATCTCGGTCTTCATAACGAGACGTTCGTCGCCATATCTCCCAACACGTGGCCCAGATACTTGTCGAGAAGTAGAGTTATAGAGTTATCTTTGGAAATACTTGCTGGCATATGTACATTCCCGTATGTCTCTCTATATCTCTGTGTCTGTGTTTGTGTCCCTGTGTCTATGTTTCTGTGTCTCTTTTGTCTCTGTTAAACTGGTGTCTCTGTGTACCTGTGTCACTGGTGTCTTTGTGTCTCTTGTGTCACTGGTGTCTTTGTGTCTCTTGTGTCTCTGTGACTCTTGTGTTTCTGTGTCTCTGGTGTCTCTGTTAAACTGGTGTCTCTGTGTACCTGTGTCACTGGTGTCTTTGTGTCTCTTGTGTCACTGGTGTCTCTGTGTACCTCTATCACTGGTGTATCTGTGTACCTGTGTATCATCGTGACGCTGGTGTCTCTGTGACACTGGTGTCGCTATGTCTCTGGTGTCTCTGTGACTCTGGTGTCTCTATGCCTCAGGTGTCTCTCTGACTCTTGTGTCTCTGTCTCTGGTGTTTCTGTGTCTCTCGTGTCTCTGTTTAACTTGTGTCTCTGTGTCTCTGGTGTCTCTGTGTCTCTGTGTCTCTGGTGTTTCTGCGTACCTATGTCACTGGTGTCTTTGTGTCACTGGTGTCTTTGTGACTCTGGTGTTTCTGCGTACCTGTGTCACTGATGTCTTTGTGTCACAGGTGTCTTTGTGACTCTGGTGTCTCTGTGTCTCTGGTGTCTCTGTGACTCTGGTGTTTCTGCGTACCTGTGACTCTGGTGTCTCTTGTCTCTGGTGTCTCTGTGACTCTGGTGTCTCTGTGACTCTGGTGTCTCTATGCATCAGGTGTCTCTCTGACTCTTGTGTCTCTGTCTCTGGTGTCTCTGTGTCTCTGGTGTCTCTGTGACTCTGGTGTTTCTGCGTACCTGTGACTCTGGTGTCTCTGTGTCACTGGTGTCGCTATGTCCCTGGTGTCGCTGTGACTCTGGTGTCTCTGAGTCACTGGTGTCGCTATGTCTCTGGTGTCTCTGTGACTCTGGTTTCTCTGTGTCTCTGGTGTCTCTGTGACTCTGGTGTTTCTGCGTACCTGTGACTCTGGTGTCTCTGTGTCACTGGTGTCGCTATGTCTCTGGTGTCGCTGTGTCTCTGGTGTCTTTGTGACTCTGGTGTCTCTGTGTCTCTGGTTTCTCTGTGACTCTGGTGTTTCTGCGTACCTGTGACTCTGGTGTCTCTGTGTCACTGGTGTCGCTATGTCTCTGGTGTCGCTGTGTCTCTGGTGTCTCTGTGACTCTGGTGTCTCTGTGACTCTGGTGTCTCTATGCCTCAGGTGTCTCTCTGACTCTTGTGTCTCTGTGTCTCTGGTGTTTCTGTGTCTCTCGTGTCTCTGGTATCTCTGGGGTCTCTGTGAGTCTGGTGTCTCGGTGTCTCTGGTGTCTCTGTGACTCTGGTGTTTCTGCGTACCTGTGTCACTGGTGTCTCTGTGTCTCTGGTGTCTCTGTGACTCTGGTGTTTCTGCGTACCTGTGACTCTTGTGTCTCTGTGACTCTGGTGTTTCTGCGTACCTGTGTCTCTGGTGTCGCTGTTTCTCTGGTGTCTCTGTGACTCTGGTGTTTCTGCATACCTGTGACTCTGATGTCGCTATGTCTCTGGTGTCTCTGTGACTCTGGTGTTTCTGCGTACCTGTGACTCTGGTGTCGATGTGTCTCTGGTGACTCTGTGTCTCTGGTGTTTCTGCGTACCTGTGTCACTGGTGTCTTTGTGTCACTGGTGTCTTTGTGACTCTGGTGTCTCTGTGACTCTGGTGTTTCTGCGTACCTGTGACTCTGGTGTCTCTGTGTCACTGGTGTCTTTGTGACTCTGGTGTCTTTGTGACTCTGGTGTCTCTGTGACTCTGGTGTTTCTGCGTACCTGTGACTCTGGTGTCTCTGTTTAACTGGTGTCTCTGTGTCTCTGTGTCACTGGTGTCTCTGTGCCTCTGGTGTTTCTGCGTACCTGTGACTCTGATGTCGCTATGTCTCTGGTGTCGCTGTGTCTCTGGTGTCTCTGTGACTCTGGTGTCTCTGTGACTCTGGTGTTTCTGCGTACCTGTGTCACTGGTGTCTTTGTGTCACTGGTGTCTTTGTGACTCTGGTGTCTCTGTGACTCTGGTGTTTCTGCGTACCTGTGACTCTGGTGTCTCTGTGTCACTGGTGTCTTTGTGACTCTGGTGTCTCTGTGTCTCTGGTTTATCTGTGACTCTCGTGTTTCTGCGTACCTGTGACTCTGGTGTCTCTGTTTAACTGGTGTCTCTGTGTCTCTGTGTCACTGGTGTCTCTGTGCCTCTGGTGTCTTTGTGACTCTGGTGTTTCTGTGTCACTGGTGTCTTTGTGACTCTGGTGTCTCTGTGTCAGTGGTTTCTCTGTGACTCTGTGTGTCTATATTTCTCTGGTGTCGATGTGTCTCTGGTGTCTCTGCGCACCTGTGTCACTGGTGCCTTTGTGACTCTGTGTCACTGGTGTCGCTGTGTTCCTGTGTCACTGGTGTCTTTGTGACTCTGGTGTCTCTGTGTCTCTGGTTTCTCTGTGACTCTGTGTGTCTATATTTCTCTGGTGTCCCTGTGTCTCTGGTGTCTCTGCGCACCAGTGTCACTGGTGTCTCTGTGTCACTGGTGCCTTTGTGACTCTGGTGTCTCTGTGTCTCTGGTGTTGCTATGTCTCTGGTGTCGCTGTGTCACTGGTGCCTTTGTGACTCTGGTGTCTCTGAGACGCTGGTGTCTCTGTGTCTCTGTGACTCTGGTATTTCTGTGTCTCTGGTATCTCTGTTTAACTGTTGTCTCTGTGTCTCTGTGTCACTGGTGTCTCTGTGTCTCTGTGTCTCTGGTGTCTCTGCGTACATGTGTCACTGATGTCTTTGTGACTCTGGTGTCTCTGTGGCCCTGGTGTCTTTGTGACTCTGGTGTCTCTGTGACTCTCATGTCTCTGTGACTGGTGTCTTTGTGACTCTAGTGTCTCTGTGACTCTGGTGTCGCTATGTCTCTGGTGTCCCTGTGACTCTAGTGTCTCTATGCCTCAGGTGTCTCTCTGACTCTGGTTTCTATATTTCGTGTCTCTGTTTAACTGGTGTCTCTGTGTACCTGTGTTACTGGTCTCTCTGGTATCTCTGTGTCTCTGGGGTCTCTGTGATTCTGGTGTCTCTGTGTCTCTGTGTGTCTGTGACTCTGGTGTTTCTGTGTCTCTGGTATCTCTGTGTCTTTGTGACTCTGGTGTCTCTGTGTCTCTGTGACTCTGGTGTTTCTGTGTCTCTGGTGTCTCTGTTTAACTGGTGTCTCTGTGTCTCTGTGTCACTGGTGTCTTTTGTCTCTGTGTCTCTGTGTCTCTGTGTCTCTGGTTTCTCTGTGACTCTGTGTGTCTATATTTCTCTGGTGTCCCTGTGTCTCTGGTGTCTCTGCGCACCTGTGTCACTGGTGCCTTTGTGACTCTGGTGTCTCTGAGACGCTGGTGTCTCTGTGTCTCTGTGACTCTGGTATTTCTGTGTCTCTGGTATCTCTGTTTAACTGTTGTCTCTGTGTCTCTGTGTCACTGGTGTCTCTGTGTCTCTGTGTCTCTGGTGTCTCTGCGTACATGTGTCACTGATGTCTTTGTGACTCTGGTGTCTCTGTGGCCCTGGTGTCTTTGTGACTCTGGTGTCTCTGTGACTCTCATGTCTCTGTGACTGGTGTCTTTGTGACTCTAGTGTCTCTGTGACTCTGGTGTCGCTATGTCTCTGGTGTCCCTGTGACTCTGGTTTCTATATTTCGTGTCTCTGTTTAACTGGTGTCTCTGTGTACCTGTGTTACTGGTCTCTCTGGTATCTCTGTGTCTCTGGGGTCTCTGTGATTCTGGTGTCTCTGTGTCTCTGTGTGTCTGTGACTCTGGTGTTTCTGTGTCTCTGGTATCTCTGTGTCTTTGTGACTCTGGTGTCTCTGTGTCTCTGTGACTCTGGTGTTTCTGTGTCTCTGGTGTCTCTGTTTAACTGGTGTCTCTGTGTCTCTGTGTCACTGGTGTCTTTTGTCTCTGTGTCTCTGTGTCTCTGTGTCTCTGGTTTCTCTGTGACTCTGTGTGTCTATATTTCTCTGGTGTCCCTGTGTCTCTGGTGTCTCTGCGCACCTGTGTCACTGGTGCCTTTGTGACTCTGGTGTCTCTGTGTCACTGGTGCCTTTGTGACTCTGGTGTCTCTGTGTCTCTGGTTTCTGTGTGACTCTGGTGTCGCTATGTCTCTGGTGTCGCTGTGTCTCTGGTGTCTCTGTAACTCTGGTGTTTCTATGTACCTGTGTCACTGGTGTCTTTGTGACTCTGGTGTCTCTGTGTCTTTGTGTCTTTGTGACTCTGATGTATCTGTGTCTCTGTGACTCTGATGTTTCTGTGTCTCTGGTGTCTCTGTTTCACTGGTGTCTCTGTGTCTCTGGTTTCTGTGTGACTCTGGTGTCGCTATGTCTCTGGTGTCGCTGTGTCTCTGGTGTCTCTGTGACGCTGGTGTCTTTGTGACTGTGGTGTTTCTGCGTACCTGTGTCACTGGTGTCTTTGTGACTCTGGTGTCTCTGTGTCTCTGGTTTCTGTGTGACTCTGGTGTCGCTATGTCTCTGGTGTCGCTGTGTCTCTGGTGTCTCTGTAACTCTGGTGTTTCTATGTACCTGTGTCACTGGTGTCTTTGTGACTCTGGTGTCTCTGTGTCTTTGTGTCTTTGTGACTCTGATGTATCTGTGTCTCTGTGACTCTGGTGTTTCTGTGTCTCTGGTGTCTCTGTTTCACTGGTGTCTCTGTGTCTCTGTGTCACTGGTGTCTTTTGTCTCTGTGTCTCTGTGTCTCTGTGTCTCTGGTTTCTCTGTGACTCTGTGTGTCTATATTTCTCTGGTGTCCC